CGGTCCGGCAGGCCGAAGCAGCGCGCCGCGTGCGGCCTCCGAGCGCACGGGCGCCGCTCGAGGCAGAACTGTCTTGCAGCTCGCAATGGGTCTACCCGGAACGCTCGCCTTCCATCGAGTCGAGTGCGCAACTTTTGCTGCCTCGTCCTCGCTTGACCATGGCACCGCCGCCACCGACGGTTGCCGTTCGCTCACTCGAGCGCGACGAGTCGAGCTTTGACCGCGCAGCGCTGGAGAAGGAACTTCATGCTTCGAAGACAAAAACACTGGCACTCGAGTCGCAAGTCGAGACGCTACTGCGCCAAGGCGACGATGCTCGCCACGTGACAGCCCGGGACATGGCGTCGCTAGAAGAGAAGGTCACCCACGTCGAGGCGGCGTTAGCAGCCAAGGTAGCCGAGGTACGTAGCACCGTAGCACCCGCATCGCAAAGTTCAGATGCTTTGTAGCTGCAGTTAGCCAAGACGGACGCGGCCAGTGACAAGAAGCGTGTGACGATGTTGGAGGTTTCGCATCGTGTCGGCAGGATGTTATTCCTCCCATTCACGATTAGGCCCAGCTCCAGGCACTGCGACAGACGCTGAACGACACGGAGCGTAGGGTCAGCAGTGACGCCGACGCACTGGCAGCGAAGTCCACAGAGCTGGCGACAGCGCGAACCAAGCTGGAAAGCGTTCAGTTTGCGCTCGACGAGTGCAAGGCGACGTTGGCAACCACATCGACCGAGCTGGAGCGCGTCCGAAAAGACTATACCAAAGTGGTCTACGAGCTCACGCAGCTGCAGCGAAGCCAAAGCCAAAACACGGAGACGTGGCGCACGACCAACCAGATTGCTTTGTTGACGCAAGAGCGAGATGATCTGCTGCAGCAGCTGCGCCAGACATCTGCGGTAGCCAATTGTAGTCCGCATCAAAATGCACATGGTATTTAGATGCATGCTCGGCACCAGGCTGACGTTGCGGCCAGAGACACCCAGCACTCGCAGCAGCTCGAACGACTCCAAGCGCAGCAGCGCAACTTCGACCGGCGTGACGACGTTGGTCCGCCACCATCGAGTCGGGAACCAGCCTATGTCGAGTCGTCGCTCTTTCCGAACGCGATCCGCATACCAGATGTGCACGGGCAAGGATTCCCTGGTACAATGCACGCACTATCGTTCCAAACACTGTCTGTGGCAACTTACAGTGTCTTAACCAGAAACGGAACGGCGCCCGAGTGCTGTCGTCGAGTCCTACAACCAGATGCTGGCCGACGCCCGTCCGACCACATCACCGACAAAGGAGCGTATGACGCGACGCAGCGGCCCTGTGTCGCTGGCGGACCTCGGTTACGGCGATGCCCGGCGGTCAATGCCAACAACTGCAGGTACCTGAGGAGGTTCCGTATAAGAAACGATATATTCGCATAGCCTCCATGAGCAAGGTGGAGCTGAATGGCTCGAACAACATTCGCAATTTGCTTCATTATCAAACCAGTACCGAAGAGGGCGGGGACATGCGTCACCGCAGCGTGATCGACATGGAGCTCAGTGCACCGTACGCAACCGAGAAGCAGTCGCTGCAAAACGACGTCATGTACAAGCGCCAGTTGGAGCGAAAGCTCCTCGACCTCAACCTTGAAAAAGAGCAGGTATGACGACTATACTCGGAGATGGAGGAATCCAATGGGAGCAGCTCCAGGCCGAGTACGCCAAGCTCGAACAATCCGCCTCGAGGACGATCGATGCACGCAGGCGCAAGTCTAATATCGAGTCGAGCCTCTTTGGTCTCGACAAAGCCATCAATCAGCTGCGCATGCAACTACGCTAAGTACAAACTTACAAATATAATCCCATCACGTACAACCATTCCTCGAGGGAAGGGCACTTTTCATGGCCGCAGGCCCTCGACTGGTACTGCTCCTGGACACGATATGCATACCCGTGGCAAAGCTCTGGGCCTCGCTCATGGCTCACCGTCGCCAAATTCCCACGAAAAGAGCCAGGTAGAATCGCAGGTCAAACGCAGGGGTTAACCCTGGTCTAATGTGGGCATCAAGTGACCACTGCCTGCCAGAGCAGCACGAGATGAGGGAAAGCAGCATTGCAAGTGGTGTGTGGTCACTGCGATAGCGTGTTGAAAATATTTCAGCGTGCTCCACAACCAACGCCGTCGCCAGAATATTGTACGCCGTACTCGTTGGGTAGACAGCCTAGCGTTGTGCTGCTCGTTTTCTTTGAACATTGTAAGTATGGAAAGCGTTAGCTTCGAGGTGCTACGCGATGGGCACGAAGGTAGACACAAGTAGATAGCGGCTCGACTCGCGCTTCTCGTCGTATTGCGCTTTTTCGCGGGGCAAGATGACAACCAAATAAACATACTAGTAAATACTAGTATTGACTAAGCGAAGGCCGTCAGCGCCATGCTACATACCAACATGGCGTACCGAGGAAAAGATTGAGCGCGTGGAACGCGAGGTCACCATTGTCTATCGTCGCCTAACGTTACTCCATGATTATCTGTGTGTCGAAGAGGACGTAGAACGTTGTATGCGCAGAAGACAAGAGCACATATATACTGTATGAAGCATGTAGAGATAGGCCTGGTGCATATTTCAACACTTTTCACTAATAAAGCACTAATACAACAGAGTGAAAACTTGGTCATGACTAAAATTCAACAAATTTAGTGTAAAATACTGTGTAAATTCATTTCGACTCTTCATACCGTTGTTTTTCACACCCATCTTACAAATTTTAATCCTGAAGAGTCAGCTCATGATCGAGTGTAGAATCCAACACATTTAGTACAAATTATTGTGTAAATTCCAGTTTCCACTCTTCAGACTTGTGTTTTTCACACTCCATTTACGGACCTCCCCAACGGTCGTTTTTCCTGGCAGGAACGTTTACGTGGCGTACCAGCATCCCAGGGGATTAATTCGTACATTCATGTCAGGCGGTATATTACCGGAATTACCCTATGGGTTTCGTCTTGAATGTCGTCCGTTGCCAAGCTACTTGAGCGACCGGTTGCTCTTGATTTCTTCCCACTACTCCCGCACGGTCAAGCCTCAGCAGAGCTCGAGTTGGGGAGACCAATCGATGCACCGCGGGGCCACGTCGGCGCTTTCGCGGCCGTGAGCCAGACCCGTGTTGCGGAGCTCCACTTGGATGCGACCGACCTGGAGCTGCAGCACCCGAAGGTACACGGGGGGTGCTCACTTGAACTCGTGGGCAGATGGAAGTCGTTGGCTAGGTTTTGGACACTGTTGGATGCATGGCTGATGTTGAAAAGGCTCGTCGGTGGAGAAGAGTGTACGGTGGACGAGTGTCGCTATCTTGCTAGTTGAGTGCGTCGAGCTCCGCGGCGAGAGTGCGTGGAAGTCGGCGAGGAAGCGCGAGGCTGCTGCAAATGTTGTCGTTGTTGGCCTGGGCTTCTGCGTACGTGTTGTCTTCGCAGAGAAGAGCCACAATCGTTGTGATGTGGACCTTGCTGTGGAGTGGCCGATCTGGGTCCCGTAGAGCCGACCGGACAAAGCCGGACCACTGGACCACGGTCTCGTGCACCATCTTGGCGATCTGAGGCCCGACGGCGTCTT